GATCAGTTTCAGCAGCGGCTGACGCCAGTTCCGACTTACATACAGATTCAACTTAAGAACAAACCTACAGTCCCTATCTTGTACGTAACCCGGGGACTGCCTGTAATTATCCCAGGCACATCCTAACACTTTTAAATGTTTTCAAACAAATAAACCAAGCAACTAACCAACCACCCAACCAACCAGCATAGCAGATGTGCTGAGAGATTAGGAGTGAAAGGGTTAATTCTTGCTTTTGGAACATAAAGAGATGAAAATTCAGTTTTAGCCCTCAGGCCTTTATCAAGATGAGTGCAGAACAGAGCCTTGACTCTTTGATAGAGGCCTTAGAGTTGGGGTTCTCTTTTGTCTCTGTTGCAAAAATAGTTACAGCTGCATTTAAATTTGACATGACATGAAACATTATACATATATATTGTTAAGCCCTTTTTGTCTCAACAGCTGTGCATTTAGGGCTCACAACTGGAATGCTGCAGTGCACAGCCCTGCTGAATGGAAAAGAAAGGCACTGATTCTGGAAGACTGGAGCAACTTGGAGCATTGGATCCTGGTTTGTAAGATAGACAATAGTACATTTTGTTTTGATCGCAAATTTTTTTTTCTTCTTCATTCTTTGAAATAAGCTTTGCCTAGCCCTCCTTCTAAACAGTTATCTGTATATATCGGACAATAAGAAGATGAGCATGTACCCAGGCTCCAACCTTGTGAGGACTTAGCATACATCTACACCTCAAGGGAAGGTGTAATTGTAATGTGTGTAGCGGTGTTCCCTCTCATTTCTTCCATATATGTGTGGAACAAATTTTGTTATGTGCACCAAAGTATGCATGGATATGCACCACCAGTAGAAACACATTCTGCTGGCTCTGGGAACTGTGGACACTTTGCTAATCAGCTGAGCGGCATTTGAACCTCTCCTGGGTGGCCGCCCGAGTGCTCACCTTACAGAAAACACTGGTGTATGAGTCCTAGCTAGTGTGGGTAACACTCATGGGTGAAAGCATGGCAGCAGAGATCATAGAAGTGGGTGCAGATAGCAATTGTAATGAAGATGTGGCAAGACGGATTTAGGTTCTAGATATCAACCATAGTATGTACTTGCTAGATGAAAGTTAATAAAGGCTTGCTTTCATGTACTGCAGTCACAACTTAAATTGCTGTGTAGATTTACCCATATGCCCATGATCAGGGCTCACCAAGTGACAACGAACCCTGCTCGCCAGCCGTGCGGTTCTGCGGTCTGCGCATGCGCAGACCGGGCTGCGCCAGTTTTGCAACTTGTAATCTACTCGCCACGGGTGAGTAGATGACATAATTTGTTGAGCCCTGCCCATGATGCTAAAAAGATTACTTGCAGAGGGTAAAATTAATCATCTGTAAATTACTGCAGTATCGGGGCTCTGGTGAACTATGAGCCAAAATAGAGGAAGAGAGGGGGGCACATTTAAAAATTGTCATTGATATTCAGGTTTTAGTGTTTATTCTCTGGAAACTTTCAAGAATTTCTTCAGTTCAGGGTTGAAAATCCAAACTGGTAGATTATTAGTAAACTGAAATCTGATTGGGTTTTTACTGGGTGAGGTAAGATTTTGTATTGAGCCAACTTATTAGCCAAAAGCAAACTACACAGTTGAAACAACACCCTACTCTCACTACTGTCAGTGGATATTCTCCATCAGTGTATTAAAGCAGAGTAAAATGAAAGGATAATGTCTAGCTCTCCCTCCCCCAAGGTAACTATCTTTTTGCAGAGATCTTCAAAAATGGTTGTTTTTTTTTAATTCAATTCTCTTCCTTTACTTGGAATGTCAGGTCCCCTTTGTTAATACACTGCAGCATCCTGGTTACTACTTGCAAAATTTAAATGGCAAATTATGAAGGAAAAAATTCTCTTGTGTGCTCCCGGATGACCCAATGTGCTATCCTAAGGGAAGGATTATCTGACTTTATCATTTGCTGGCTTTCTCTGCTCTCATCTTAGAACTCACAGTGCTGCTTTCTTTCCTACTCTTTTCATTCTTATAGTGATCCCTCACCCCAGTGACACGATGATGTAGACTATGTAAAGATATAGAGATGCCAAAAGGAGGAAAGAAGTTCTGGGAAGCTGTATAATTACTAATTTTGATATTGGGGAGGAGGGCAACCAAACTGTTTCCCATTTCCTATAGTTAAAGATTTGAGACTCAGTTCCTCCATTATTTTGTTTATTTTTAATGTATTTTAGTCTACATAGAGTATAATCTATTGCTTTTATTTCTATATCTTGGGCCAAATTCATATGTGGTATGGGCTAGGTAGATGAATATTAGACACTCTAAGTTTTATACCAAGTATAATAAGGGAATCAAAATTAAGTGACCAGGACATTGCATATTAAGAAGAAAAAATAACGTCTATATTGTGTAATGACCTGAATAGCCACCAAAAGATTTCAACAACTCATGGTACTCATACTGGTGAACTATGTATACCTGATTTTTGTGTGTACATGTATATATGGGTAATACTCTAAGTTAGATCGTGCATTTCTTAAGGCAGATACTCTGTTTTCTTATGTTTGCAAGTCACCAAACAAGTTGTCAAAGATCAATAAATAATTTACAAGTAGATGTCCCCTACTTCCCATATAAGTTGTGTAATTACTGTGTGGATCTGCATATCTGAAGGCCATCTAAGAACAATTTTTTGAATAAATAATTGAGTATCTTTTAATCTAGTGGTCTCCAAACTTTTTAAACCACTAGATCACTTTTTAAATTTAAATGCAATGTGGATCTGTGGGCAGAAGAGGAATTCCTCCACGACCCCTGGTCCTGTGGCTGGCTGACCAGAGACATCCATCCTGGACCCTGGAACAGATCCAGGCCAAGATTAAGGAGCTGCACCTGGACTACATCAGGGACACTGAGGGCAAGGGGGCAGGAGTCAACACCTGCCTCCACTATGACCGCTTGCATGCCATCCTGGGGGAGACAGTGGTCCAAGGGCCCTTGCTGGTGGTCAACACTGGACTGTGCACCTTGGTGGTCAGGCCGCCTGACCTGGAGGAGGAGGGTGACCTGACCACTAGTTCCAAGGGTGATGAAGTGGACTGCCCCATCACCCTCCACCTAGAGCCAGTGCCCAGCCTCTGGAATGTCCGAGGCCAGCGATGGATCCTCCGGTGAGTATTGTGCTTCTCACTCACAAGGGTTGGGGAGACAGATGCCTGGGGGGAGGGGAGGGAGCATCAGTCAGGCAGTTCGAGCTTCACACTGTGCAGCAGTACGCAGCATATGCAACCTCGTGCAGACTGACTGTGTGGCACATGTATGCAGCAGGCAGCTCTAGGACACGCTTGGGACCCTGCTGCTCACACATGTCCTGCCTGGGGGAGGGAAAGGGAAGCAGCCAAGCCCCAAGGGCGCAGGCCACACCGCACACATCCCGAAGGGTGCCGCACACAGACAGCACACGACCATGCCTTCCCATGTGACACAGCAGCTGCTCCTGTGAAAAGCTCAGCGAGCCAGCCCTGTGAGCGCGGCCCCCACAGAGTCCCTTGGCTGTTCCCAGCCCCTCTGCTGCCCCGAGGGAAGCCCCCTACTATGGCCATGCACTGCCCTGAGCTACTTGTCCAAGGGCTGGGGGGAGGAGGAGCAGGGAAGTGGGTAGCCAGAGCCTCTGGGCCACATAGTCTTGCTGCAGGGACAATACACTCCCCAGTAGGCCTGGCTGCAGCTCCGAGGAAATCAATGACAGTAGACTGAGAACCCAGACCTCGTCTGCCACACTTGCTCCCATGCAATGTGGGGATGTGTACTCAAACATGACTACAGCATCAATGGTGTATGCTCACAGACAGTGACAAGAGTAGAAGCCATGTGCTCTACCTTGGGGAGGGAGTGTACGCAGTGCAGGCAGATGGACACAGCATGCCAAGTGGCTAGGACACAGACAAAGGTCTTCATTCACAGTGATATCTCCCAAGGGTTGCAACCCATGGAGGATCACTTCACTCCCCCAGGATTTTGAGCTAGTCTGCGTGATCACACACACAGGGGACTGATTGGGCCCAAGCAACAGTTGTGGTGTAGTGTAACGTGAGGCTCATGGAGGAGGGCATGGGGCTCAGGGACACTGTGGGCAGGGCTGACTGCATCACCGTTTTCTGTGTTCTGTGCTCCTGGGACCAGTCAGGAGCAAGGGACCCTTCAGCTCTACGGCGGAGGCACCGACAACCCCGGCACCAGTCCGGTGGACCAGGCAGCGCGACCAGCTCCTCCAGCATCACGTCCAGGCCGTAGAGTGGATGGACAACACGGTTAGCAGCAAGCTGCGGGCTGACATGGAGTGGTGGCAGCAGGGATGGGGCCAGTTCCTCCAGCGCTGCGACTGCATGTGAAACACCATCTCCATCCTCACATCTCTCATCGGACATGCTGTGCACTATGGCATGGCCTTGCCCCACACTGCTGCTCTCCCTGCTGTGCCCATGCCCCCTCCTGCCACCCCTCCTGCTGCACCCCGTCCTGTCCACCTCCCCATGATGCCTGCCCCAACCCGGCCTGAAGGGCGCCAAAGCCTCTGCACCCACAAAGGCACAGGCAGGAGCTGCTCCTCCCAGCAATAACTCCCCCTCCCAGTTGAAAGCCCCCTCCCACTGCCCACTCTTCTTCCCTATTGTAAATAAAAATACAGTTTATTCTTGGTTAAACAAAAAACTGTTTTGTGTTTATTGGGAGGTGAGGGAAGGGAAGGGTTGGGAATAGGAGATAGATGTGGATGCCAGACAGAAGCGACCCTAGTGTGGGGCCTGGGAGAACATCTCCTTGAGGGCCTCTCGTAATCGTATCCCATCGTGGTGTGCCTGCCAGATGGCAGCTGTCCAGGGCTGCTTGAATGCCCAGCCCTCGCCTGCCATCCATCTCAGGACGAAGCCTCTCTCTTCTGCTCCACTATGTTGTGCAGCACACAACATACTGCGACAACCTCTGCGATGTTCGCTTGCTCATGTTGAGATGGGTGAGTAGACAATGGAATCTCGCCTTCAGCCGTCCAAAGGTGCACTCCACCTGGTTGCGGGCCTGGTTTAGGTTCTGGTTGAATGTTTCCCAGCTGGGGTCCATGTGTCCAGTGTACGGTCACATCAGCGATGGTGTGAGGGGGTAGGCTGCGCCCCCCACGATGCACAGTGGCATGCAGACATCCCCAACCATCAACAGGCTGGTATTTCAGAGGATGTGGGCATCATGTGCCCTGCCTGACCACCCCACTTAGATGTCCATGAAGCAGCCATAGTAGTCCATGAGGGCTTGGAGCACCATCAAAAAGTACCCCTTCTGATTGATGAAGTGGGCCATTCGATGCTCTGGTGCCCAGATGGGTATGTGGGTCCCATCCATGGCTCCCCTGCAGTTGGGGAACCCCAGGGCAGTGAAGCCAGCCACAATTGCGTCCATGTCCCACAGGCGGATGACCCTCTTGAGCAGAATGTCGTTGATGGCTCAGACAACCTGCAGAAAGGCACAGACAAACACAGGGAACACACAGAATGAGGCAGGGTGGGTGCATGAGCTCTTGGGGGGTGCCTGCTCCCTGTGATGCCCTCTCCCCCCCAAACATGCCAGAGCCCTCTCGCCCCAGAGCCCCCCCCCCATACCAAACCATCAAAAAGTACCCCTTCTGATTGATGAAGTGGGCCATTCGATGCTCTGGTGCCCAGATGGGTATGTGGGTCCCATCCATGGCTCCCCTGCAGTTGGGGACCCCCAGGGCAGTGAAGCCAGCCACAATTGCGTCCACGTCCCACAGGCGGATGACCTTCTTGAGCAGGGCATCATTGATGGCTCGGACAACCTGCAGAAGGGCACACAGAAACATAGGGAACACACAGAATGAGGCAGGGCAAGTGCATGAGCCTTTGGTGCATGGCCAGCTTCCACAGGGTGTTAACGACCCTCTTGTTGACCAGGATGGCAGGCTGCAGCTGGGTGTTGTGTCTGAGGAGCGCAGGAGCGAGCCAGGCACACAGCTCCAGGAACGTCTGCTTCTGCATCCTGAAGTTTGGGAGCCGCTGCTGGGTGTTGTGTCTGAGGAGCACAGGGATGAGTCAGTCACACAGCTCCACGAACGTCTGCTTCTGCATCCTGAAATTATGGAGCCACTGCTGGTCATCCCATTGCTCCAGGACCAGCTGGTCCCACCAGTCGGAACTGGTTTTGAGTCTCCAGTATCGCCTCTCCACAGTCGGGTAGGATGCCATAGCAAAGCCGCCGCATTCAGGGAGAGGGAGTCCAAAGTGAGCTCTGCATCGAGCTCGTGCAGGAGTAGTAAGGCAGCGTAGAGTAGCAGCTGCACACACTCCAAAATGGCCGTGTGGGGCCAGAACAGCCACAGGGCCATCCTTGGCTCCATGGCACAGCAAGCAGAAGGCAAAAGTCCCCAAAAGCACTAGGTCACAAGCTGTGGTGCCCAATGAGGCAGAGAGCAACCACAACAGACACTGCTACAGCTCTCAGTCCCTACCAGAGGTCCCAAAGCATGCAGCAGCAGAGAAACGGCTGTCCAGGGAGATCCCTTTAAGCACATGTCTCAGAGGAGCTCCAGCCCCTGCCCCCGGAAGGTCCTGGTGCTCTTTTGCCCTGTCTGAAATGGCTGGGGGGGGGGGGGGAGTCTTTGTGCAAGAGTTTCCCAGTGGCAGATGTGGAAATGCCCATTGTAATTCTAGGAGACCCAGCTTTTCCCTTGCAGCCCTGCCTCATGAAATTGTACATGAGGAAGGAGTGTTTTAATAGGCTGAGCAGAAACCACATGGTGGTCGAATGCAGGGATTTTCCTTCACCCCCGCTATGGGGGTATATATCCCCCCTGAATTTCCCCAACACCGCACCCCACTAGTTTTGTGAACTAGTTACATGCCAATTTAGTGATTGTTTGGAAATTTGTATTGAAATTGAAACATTAATACACACTTTAAAAGCATATACAGTGTATGATAAGAAATGTGTATCCGAAAAAGCATAATAAATTTGAAAAGTATGAACATAGACTAGCTTCCTTATACAGCTGGGCTGTGTCTACACTGGCACCACTTTCCGGAAAAGGGATGCTAATGAGACCAGTCGGAATTGCAAATGCCCCGAGGGATTTAAATATCCCCCGCGGCATTTGCATGAACATGGCTG